TAAAAACAAATTATAACTTAAAACAAATTATAACTTTTCCAGTTTTCAACATATTTTCTTCTAATTCAAAGTAAAGCTATTTTGAATTATTTATATATACTATATTTATTATATATATTTATATTAAAATCGGATGACTATATCATATAGCTGCCATCGGAACCAACTTTCAATATAGAGAAAAAGGCAAAACTATTTGTGCGTGTGAGTGTAATATCCTCTATCTCAATGTCGCTCGCTCTCCCTCTCTCTCTCTCTCTCTCTCTCTCTCTCTCTCTCTCTCTCCCTTAAGCTCTAATTAGTTCAGCATGTCTAACTCTCTCTAACTCTCTTCAACTCTCTCTGCCTTTCTCCAGCTCTATCCCTTTCTCTAGGGCTCTCGCTTACTCTCTTTCTCTTCTGCTCGGAGACTATAAATACCAGGCACTGCCGCCGCTCGGACCTCAGTCTGTCCGTGGCCGTCCAGTGTTAACATCTCTAGTGATAGTGATTAGTGATAACAGTGATAACGATGGCCCTTCTACCTCAGGAATATCATCTGGCCAATGGAATACATGTGGATAAACAGGAAGAAGCTTATCTCGAGATGACATAGCCTTATTAAAGTCACCAGGAATATGGATCTACACTGCAAGGAATTAAGGAATGACGAAAGAGATTAATTCCGGTAAGTCTTAATCATGACAATTATATCAATTATATATATAGATGGTATAGAAGTAATCAGGCTGAGATCTAGAAATAGCTTTGCATTCATTTTCCCAGTAATTTCCTTATTGTCATGAAACCCATTATTTAATTTTAATATAAAGTAATACAGCAAGTTGTATTAAATTTATCTACAAACGTATACTGAAAGTTAAATAGCCTAACTTTACTATAAATTATTCATGAATATTGTTTTCTAGCCCTTACTATAGTTTCAAAATTGATCCATCTTTTTTACATTATTATTGCAAAGTATTATAATTTGAATCAAACACTTTTCTTCTTGATTTCCATCTACACTTTGTATTTAATTAAATTATTCAGTTTTTCATGAATTCCCCATTAGGTTTATGTCTGCCATTTTATGTTCTGTTGAAGATTCAGTTCAATAAACTAAACAAATGGCAAACATAAACATTTGAAATGTATGGATCATATTATGAAGACTATTAGATCATGGGCTTTTATTATTTTGTGATGCTAATTCCAGGGTCTTTAGTTGGATGATTTAATTCATAGTAAAGTAATAAGTATAAAGCTATAAGAATATAAATAATAGATTTATCATATAATTAAATTTCCCATAAAGTAATCAAATAATATTTGTTCTTATTTATTTTCGTAGCTCTCAAACGCTTTCCCCCGTGCACTTTAATTAAATTAATCAAACACACAAGTTTCGAGAGCAACAACTTTAGTTGGTTTGGAAAATGGAAAACTATATGGAAAATCTCTCCCCTCTCTCTTGTTGCACTTTTGCGACCTTCTCCTTTTGCCTCCATAGAAAAAACCCCAAAAACGCCCCTTTTTGCTCGATATACCGGCTGCAAAAAGCAACTTGGAAATCGAGAAACTGGCACAAGTGGACACTGAAGAGCCATCGACAGGACTTTGGATGGGGATGCAAATTGCAGATGAGAATAAGAATGAGGACGTGGAAACGACCCCACCTGGACAAAGGGTCAAAGGCCACTGAGCAAACAATGGCAGGAGCAGGAGTAGCACTGCAGTAATAATCCAAAAGGCAAACACTCCTTTGTTTAAAAAGGACAAACAATATGAAAAAAGTTCTAAATATAGTCGTAACTGATACAAATTAAAAAAGGGGGCTTTGCAAAATATATAATATAATTAAAATAATTATCTGATTAGGTATACTGTAGAAAATCCATCTTTTAATTTAAATTAAATTTCTGAGAGGGTGTATTTCTTGAAGAACTCTATTAATATATACAACTTAAAACTGTTTTTCAAAGCTTCATCTTTTACTGTTTTAAATATTGAAATGTTAGCTAAATATACTTAATATTATTATAATGAAACCCAAGAATTTGTTATAAATTTATTCATTTAAATATGATTTAAACCATATGAAAAATCATACATGGATGCAAAAATCGATTAAACATTTTATTGGATCATTATTTTACCTAAAGAGTTAAGGATTTAAAATCAAATAAAATATCAAATCATGTTATGTAATATTTTAAATATAATTAAATACTAAATATAATAATACTTTTAAGGGAAATTTTAAAAGGAAATTAAAAGTAAAAAAAGTATATCAAGTTCAGCCTCAAATTAACCTTATTAATATTAGAGCTATGAATATTCTTTTTATATGTCAATTCCCTCTTATATAATTTATTTATTTATATTTTATTCAATATTTAATAAAAAATATGTATATTTTTTATTGTGTGCCCCCTTTTACTCACCTTGAGTTGAGATTTCCTCTTGAGGGCGGCAATTGAACGAGTTTGCTGTCGTAAAACCTCCAGGGCAGATGCAGAGGTCGAAAATTAAATTGAAAACTGATTCCGGCGAATAAAAAAAATCTGAAACCAATGAAATGGAAAGCGTGAACTCGAAACTCTCACGAAATACAAATTTTGTTTTTTGCTTTATTTTGCATATATTTTTTCTTTTTTTTTGGATACTATGTATATACTCTAGTGTTTTCAAAGTAAACACCATTTTCACAGAAGATAAAAATATAAAAATTATAAACACATTTTAAAGCAAATAAATAGTCATACAAAAATATATTACAAGAAATTTAAAAATGATATAAAATTTTTATAATTAATAAAGAAAACATTATTAAAAGTACGTTTCATTTAAAACCCAAAACTTTTAAATTATAATAATCGTATTAATTTAAACTTTAAAGTAATAATTGTATTTATTTTTATATGGCATTAAAATTATATTAAACTTCGTAATAACTTAAAAGGTAATCAAATATTTAAAATATTCAAAATAGTGAGAGCATTTAAAAATGTTTTACAAATTTAAAAATTTTCGGTTTTTTTCTTTTAATTGTTTACGTTTGCTTGAGAGGGAACGGCGCGAAAAAAGATGAAAAACATTTTGTATTTTCGAATTATAAACAATTTAGCCAACGAGCATCGCTTTCAATATTTCCCCATTTAATATTCATTGATTGCTTTGTTTTGGCTCTAATTGCACGTTTTGACTGACTTATTGTGTGGGTGCGATATGCTTTAGCGTTTATTTCATTTTCGCAATATTTCAGAATAATTATGAATAATTTTCTTTCACTTTTACGAATATAACCTTGCGCAATTTTAAAACGAATTTAAAGGGAAACAGAACACACACACACCGAAGGGATTGCATTTTATACTGCATATTTCCGTTACGTGCTGAGCAACCGGAAGTGCACACACACACACATAAACTGGCTAACAAATACACTCAAGTGCAGGGGAGTTTTTTTTTCTTTTTTTCCCCTTTTTTCGATGTAGTTTGGTAACTTTTTTAAGGGGGTGTTTGACCCATAAATGAATTTATGCCAATTTAGAAAGCCAAATAGCAATTGGGGGCTCAGCGGGGAGGAATTAAGAAAAGGGTGCTCAGGGCGGGGAGGGGGCGGGGGCGTTGGCTAACCAATTAAAACATGTTGTTTTTTTTCCACATTTTCATGGGGAGGGTTGTTTGTTATTTATTTTTGCTTGATATTTCCCCCGAGCTTGAGAACTTTGTTTTTGGCCAACATAACCGGATATATTTGTGCAATTATTTTAATGGCCTAGACACCAACACAAACACACACACACACACAGAGTTGGGGAAAATATTCCCTGGACAAGCCCTTTTTTCTTTTGAAATTTACTTGTTTCGTTTGCTTAACAACTTTTTCCTTTTTTTCTCACTTTTGATAATGGGAAATATATATATATATATTTTTTTGGTTTTACTATTTCTATTAGATTTCCCGTGGGCGCGTCGCTGCTGCTTTGCCGATTTTTCCGAGTTTTCCGTGCGCCTTGGCCAGCAGTCGACTTGCAACTGAGCGAGTGAAAAACTCGAAACAGCTGAAAAACTGCAAGGACTCCCGACCCCTGGATCCGATCCCAAAAGAAAAAAAAAAATAATAAAATACGAATCTTGCAGCCCAGACGAACTCTGAACCGAGTACGAGTATAGATGGGGATACCGGGCAAAAAGGGGCGGGAGGGGATGTCCCATTGATGGTGGCCCAAAAACTCAATGAATGCGCCAAGCCGGCTGCAGGCGACGCAAGGCGCATGTGTCCTGTAGTAAAAACGGCAGCAAGGATAATGAACTCTCTGCCAAGTGCAGGTCGCTTCTAGGACCTTAATCAAGAGGGGGGGGGGGAGTGTTAAATAAATGGGACATTCTTACGTTCTTCCAAAATTAATCCAAGTCAGTATTTTGCAATTGAAGCTTGGCTTTAAAATAAGTTTAAACCAGTTTGTAGCATATTCCTTGATTTTCAAAATGCGCGCCAAAATAAATACAATACTTACCAGCACATATCAGTTCGTTGGCCAACACTGTAAACTGCCAACTATCGCCAGTCTGGCTACGCTGGCGGCACTTCCAATGTTTTCGATTACTAGACAATCGATAACGAGAGTGAATTCTGTTAATTTACGCTGTTAATGAATTTTACTTCCTTCATGTAAAATGATTTTCTAGAAGTGTAAGATATAAAATGTTAATTAAAAGCTCCGGTATTAAGATTGACCAGAAAAAAATACCACAATATACCAAAACAAATATCGATATATTGTATATTAAATATATACAATATATTATATATAATATATTATAATAAGAGCAGGTCTGTTAAAGAATTTTACATTATACATGAGAATTCAACTTCCTACATGTGAATTAGATCCCAAACTCGAGAATTCGACCCCATGTAAACGTGTAAAATAATTATTTAGACATGTAAGATGTAAAATGTTAAATAACAGCAGTTTTTCAAACAAATGCTATCATCAAAAAAAAAAACAAAAAAAAAGCGACGAAAAATTTGTTAGGAAAAAAACTATTTTGCTGGTGAAAAATTGAACCAAATGTGAATTAAAAGTGAGTAAAGCGACAAGAACAACCCAATTCCCCAATTGGATAATGAAAAGACACGTTTGCAGCTACCGAAATGACACAATTCGTACATAAATGAAGCAATAACAATTAAGCAAAATTAGCAGGGGGCTGATGCTCCCTGGGGAATTTCCATGATGCCAAGTGACAATTGCGACTCGGAGGACGAATGCATGGAAGTCAATACGATTCGGATCCTGCGCTGCAGCGTGGCCAGGTGCCCCTACAGGACAAACAGGGCCCACAACCTGTGGCGTCACGAGGAGCGCCACAAGCGTCCGGTGGAACCGAAGCCATTTGGCTGTCCCGTCTGCATCTACAACACCGATAAGATCACCAACCTAAAGCGGCATGTGGCCATCCGACATCCCAAAGAGGTCGTAGTCCCAAAGACTCCGGATGAGCCGGACACCCAGCTGAAGTCGGCCGCAGGAACCCGCAGGATCCGCTGCCAGGTGATGGGCTGCCGGTACGAGACGAGTCGGGCCCATGACCTGAAACGCCACATGGCGGTGCACAACAATGTTGAGAAGAGCCACAAGGAGTACAAGTGTTCCCTGTGCATGTACAGCTCGGATAGGAAGGCCAACCTCAAGCGGCACCTGGAACTGCGACACTCTGGCATCGAGGAAACCATTCAGACGGCCGACGAGCTGGAGCAGGAGCTACACAGCCTGGAGGAGGAGAAGAGGCTGGAAGAGCTGGCGCAGCAGGATGAGCTGTTCAACGACTTGATAGAGAACCTTGACGAGGTGGAGCTCGAAATCGAGAGGAAGGAAACGGCGGAGGAGCAAGTGCTCGATCAGCTGGCTGAGGAGCAGGAGGAGGAAGAACCTCCTCTGATCACAATATCCACCTGCAAGCCTCCGATGCTCCAAGGAGACATAACCGACAAGCAAGTGATTGTAAGTTAACCAATTTTACGTTTATTCTGTCACACTCTCTCTAACCATTCACGTCTTTCGTCAGGCTGTCAACGTGAATGGCCAGCTGCGTTGGTTCCAATCAATCGATCCCCGCCTGGCGCATCCTTAAAACTGCAACTGGCCCTTGAGGAGCAGGAACAGCAGGCTGCTTCCGCCCAGCAGCAAATGGATGAGCTGGACGATGAGTTGGCCTTGTCCCTGGCCCAGCAGGACCAAGAGGAAGAACTGCTTGTAGAAATGTTAACCGAAGAGGAGCCGTCTGATAATGATGTATCCTGGACTTTTCACATTTCAAACGACAAATTGATAGTTGCCAGTCGAAAATGTAAGCAGGAGATGCTGGAGCCATGCGAAGAGCTCGATTTCCCCATTTGGTGGGACGATGGCGATTACACAAAAATGCACAAAAACCAAACGTTTCGGGATTGCCAGCAAAAGCCCTCAAAGGCTGTTGTGCAACGCATACTGCGCGACATTTATGACATATACTACAAGCCGTTTAAGGAGAAGCGCAAGCAGTTCCAGGTGTTCCGGATTAAGGACTCGTGGCTATGCGCTACACAGATGACACGCATGCAGATAATAAAGGACATGTACTCGAAGCAGGGCACATGAAGTTTAAATTATAGTCTAAGCTAAGCAACAAAAGGTATTTCATTTATTTTGATGAAAAAGCAGACAGTAAAATTCAATTTAAGAAATTTTAAAATCTGACAATTTTTTTAACACCTTTCAGGCCTGACAAATGAAGAACAATTTACTGGCACAATTGTAATCATGCATTTCACCATCATCAAGGGCGACGCAGTCCTCATTAAATAAGTTTGGCTGGTTTTTGCCCCACTTGATAAAGGGCGGTCTTGTCCCGGTAGCCGAAGATGTGTACTCCAACTTATTGGCCATATTGTGGATGTCCAGCCAGAAGGCCAAATTGGCCTTTGATTTACCATAGCCGCAATAGCCCTCCGCTCCTCCTCGTTCTCTATGATGGCAAGCTGACCGCCCATCCGGCGACAAGTATCCGAGGCAGAAAACCAATTCTTTTCGAAACGCCTCTCGATGTAGAAAAACCTGTTTGCGATCTTTTGGAAGTTTGCTGGAATTGACTTGGATACCGTGGAATTCTGAAGGCTAGAGAGTTTTCCCTGAAGATCTTTTATCTGGGTTTCCAGTGCACTCTTCAGGTCTTCGAAAATCTGCCGCGGCTCAGCGATTTTTTCAATCAGTTCCTGCTGCCAGAGTTTCTGTTGGCTTTCCATTCTATCCAGTTTTGCACCCAAGTTCTCCGAAATGGTCCTTTCCAACTTATTGAGGGTTTGATTTCCGTTAGAAATTAGAATATCTTGTTGATTTGCCATAATGTTGAGTCTCGCTTCCATATCCTGCGTTGGTTGCATGGTTGCCCTTACAGTTTTCTCAAAGGCCAACTGCATGCCTTCAATCCTGTCCAGCTTAGTTTGGGTTTCATTTAAACCTAAAGAATCAGAGATACTCCACTGGTCTTGGTGTTTAGCAATGTGATCGAGTAATGGCTTTAGTACGGACAGACAGAAGGATCCGCACTGGTTTTTTGGATCCTCCAGTAGACATACAGATCCTTCAGGGGATTGTGCTACCACATACCAAGGAATAATCGCAAATATAAAGAAAGCTGCGGATTTAGACATATCAGCGAGATTATCACCACGTAAGGCAAATGATTCGATTAAACTGATCTGTATTATTCAATGAACTTTCGACCAGATAAGGCAATTGATTCGATTAAACTGATCTATATTATTAAAAAATATCGCTGATAAGATCGAACAAAAAATCATTAAATCGCAACATAAAATACTACTATAAATAAATAATTTAATAATTGTTTTTAAACATATCATTGAAGTATGTTCATTTGTTATGAAGATAGGATGTACTTATCACTGCTGTGGAACTTAAAGATAGAAAAAAAATAATAATTATATATATATTAATACATTTTTTATACAATTCCTTTAAATATTTAAGTTTTTATACCCTTGCAGGGTATTATAATTCCAGTCAGAAGTTTGCAACGCAGTGACGAGTCATCTCCGACCATATAAAGTATATATATACTTGATCAACATCAACAGCCGAGTAGATCTAGCTAAAATTTTAAGAAAATCTGACTACTATATCATATAGATGCAATAGGAACGATCAGGAAAAGAATTCAATTAAAAATTATAACTTTCAGTTTTCAAATTTTTTCATATAATTTATTATTATAAATTATATTATATTATTATATTTATTTTGTAATGTTCTAAAATTTGGTTATAATTTTTTTGAATCGAGAAAGTATATCATATAGCTGCGATAGGAACGATCAGGAAATTAATACAATTTAAAATTATACCTGTTTCAGTTTTCAACAGATTTCATAAAATTTAAGAAATAGCTATTTTGTATTTTTCTAGAATTTCGGTTTGATTTTATTTTAATCGGGAAACTATATCATATAGCTGTGATAAGAACGATCAGGAAAATAAGACAATATTTCATTTTTATATTTTAATATTGAATATTATAATATTTTAAAATTTTAATATGAATATTTTTTCTTTATTGTACTAAGATTGAATACAATTTTATGTACGTGATTACATTTTCATTTTAGAAATTTATGAAAACACCAAGCTAGATATTAAGATATCAACAAATATATAATCAGAAAAAATTATTTATTTTTTAATGTTTTAAACTATTGACTTTAGTGTGACCAGTTCTCATGGAAGGGTGAAATCCATATTTTTCCAACCAATTTAATGCGATATTTATCACCATATCTTGGTTATTTTTATGTTTTTCGACGCAGCTACACTAATCGCCAAAGTAAATTTTTTAGCAGCGTTGCAGATTTTTGCATTTTAATTTTAATTATTTTTACTGAGAAAATAGAATGCTTTCTAACTAGTTGTGAGCGAAAACCCAGTGAAGTGGTCAATTGTTTAAGTTGGCGTATTGAGGGCAAAGTTGGGGACCGAGTGCAGACGTTGCAAAAACAAAGGACGCAGCCGGAAAAGTGCGAAAACAGACGCCGCTGGTGAGTCGTAATTTATGTTTATTTTATGTCAAAGTGCTGGGATATTAGTGAAGATGTCTAGATAACGCAGAATGCATTGATTTCCTTTTGTTTATTTAATGACTGGCTGACTCTTCCTCTTCCCTTACTCATTTTCCTTTTGTTTGACTTTTTGGCGCAATATCACTCGCCACGCCGGTGCTCTCTAGAGATGGCAAAAGAATAAAATAAACTCTGTTCGATGTGGAAAATTAAATTGAATTAAAAACTCGAACTAGTTTAGTGAGAGTACGATTAAATCAATTTAATACAAGACTTGAAAATTGTTTTATTTATTTATTTATATATTGTAAAATTGATTAATTTTACACTGCGACTCATTCGAATTGTTTTGTAAAATAGTTCGGGAGCAAAATCTTTATTTTAAATGAATTATTTTAAGAGAAAATTGTTTATTTTTATTAATTTTTTTTTTTGCGAAAAGAAATATCGGTGGGTTCGATAGTTAGTTGTCGTCCACTTGTCACTAACGCGTCTTGTCGTGTGCCACGCGCCGTGGCAACCCTGTTGCTTGGCTCTAAAAAACAAATTCGTGGAAGAATTTTGGATTTAAAGTTTGAGCATTTAATTGTGTGTGATTTTAAACAAAAGAAGGTGAGTTACTTGCCCTTGCGATCAGCAAACGCATGCTGCCTTTGTTTGAGGTTAGGGCGAGCTGATTGCAGAATGCAATTATAGCTGATGGCGTTGAAAACAAATTAAACAAATTCTTTTTGCACAAGAACAATCATGGCCTGGGTACCGAGCTCTCGATTTGAGGATGAGCTGGTGGATATGGAACCGGACTTCAATCTGATCCATGGCCAGCTGGACTACGAGGAGCGACGAAAAAAAGAGTTCGTTCCCCGGCCCAAGAACACCTACGAGTACCTGGCGGCGCGTGAGAAACGGAACGCACAGCTGGACGGCATGAAAGACAGCAGATCCGCAGAGGGCGGTAAGGCCCGGGAAATCCGTCACAGCCTGGAGATGATGGAGCGAATCCAGCGGATAGCTGGCACCAAGCCTCTGGGCGAGCATGCAACGATGGCGGACTGGGAGGACACTAGCACAGTTGAGTTGGAGGCTGTGGCCATGATGCGGCACTTCGGCATGATGTCCATGGCCGGTGACTTTTTACCAACTGAATCACTCTATGAGGAGGACACCGCCGAGAGCCGCCAGGCGGTGCAAGAACCATTGGTGGTCTCACGAAACGGTTACCGCACCTTTCCGCTTATAACGGATCCCAACTATTTTATACCCCGAAAGACCCGTAGACCAAAGAACACCTCCTCTGAGGGCAATGATACTACAGCTTCTTATCAAACAGCAGAAAGTTGGACCAGCTGCAGTAGTGTGTACGGATCAGCTAAATCAGATTCAGAAAGCAACTGTAGCAATGTAGAAGTCCCCAAAAAGGTAGACAAGTATATTGAGATACCGTACCAACTCCTAGAGGAGAGTATCGAGGAGGAGGAGGAGGAGCAGGAGCTGCCAGCAGTTCGGGAGAAGTCAAAGGGGAAAAAGAAGGGGCGGCGGCCAAATCAAAAGCAACGGCTTAGCCAAATGTCCGATCATAAAGAGCGATATCAGCTATAAATGGCAGTATTTATTTACTAAACAAACTAACAAAATACAAGTATCAAAATCATAAGTAAACAGAAGCAGAAAAAAAACAACAAATAAAATGAAACCAGGAATAAACCTGAAAAAGAACTGAATCCAAACAATAATAGAATGTGATCATAGATATCGTTCCAAAGCGGTTTTATATACTCAGAGCCATGAATTCAAAGTTCTTATGAATAGAAATACAAAAGAGACTTGCAAGTAGCATTAAGTTAGAGTTAAATTAAGAATTAAGTTCAGTTTCTTTAAACATAGATCAGGTCAATTCGGCATTCTTGCCTGTAGCTTCCCTAAAACCCTGTTGTGAAGAAAAACTTGAACATGGTCAAGCTATTGAAGTATTATTTATGTTTTGTTTAAGTTTTAATCATTTTTCAAAAGATTATAACACAAAAAAAAAAATGTATGAAATCCTGGCATTATTGCAATGCTTTAAATATTTTATTCTTATAATTTTTCACGACACTATTGTAAAAGTTGATACTCTGTAGTAACAGAAGAGACTATCACTCGACTTTTAATAAAGTCTATACATTTTCCATGATAAAAAAAAACTTGTTTACGATTCTCAAAGGAAGTCAAAAATGTTAAATTATACTTATAACTTATTTACTAAGTGATTAAAAATCTGTATTCCCCTTTTTTTTAAACAAGAAGCTCTTTCTAATTTGCAAGCCAATCGAATATAATTCAAGGGATTCAGTGAATATTTTTGGAAAAGTTTCTTTTGTCGACTATTAGATCTATTAAACCCCCATAACATGTTCTTAACTTCCATTCAATTTCCCTAATTGAATCAGTGGATGAAGCAAACATTTCGCAAACTTATCAAACATAATGGAGTGAGCACTAATTCCTTAATCAATAATGCACCCCGACCCCTGCCGTTATTGTCCTTGTGTGTGGAACTATTATTAATTTGGCGAAACCGACGCGCCAATCAATTAAGCCTAATAATCTCTGGGCCACAGACTCGGGAGGAATACACGAAGAAATTTGCTCACAGCACGATATAAATTCTCCGGAATTTGGAGGAGTGAATGTGAGGTGAAGTTGGAACAGTCGAACGTCTATAACCTCAAACTATAGTAATCCGATATTTGAATTCAAGTCTTAACATCTTCGTATGTTAACTAATATATTTTAATCATATTTTGAATCAAACCTGTTAAAAGTTAAATAATTTGAATTGAATTGAAAGTTTCTGCAAAATTGTATTTATTTTCAAAGATTAACTTTTAGGAAGTATCACTGTATTTGGGTGGTGGGAGTTGCTCTGCCTCGTTTTATCTGTCTCCTTTTCGCGGCGGCTGTTGCGCTCTCATCTCGTTTTTGCTCGCAGCTTCTTTTCTCGCCCCGAGAGTGTGAACACACGCACACAAGATACCTTACTATGCGCCAAGAACTGCAAGTTTTCAGTTTCCGTGGCAACCGCGTGCGTCTTTTGTTTCTTTCTTCTTCTTTTTACGGTTCGCTTTATTCCTTTTCTTATTTTTGCGGGGTTGTCAAGCCAAAGTTGTTGGTGAAATTGATGCTGTAGTTGTTGTTTTATGCACAAGTCGCCTGCTATTGCTGTTTTGTTGTTACGCAGTTGTATGTACATAAATATACACGCACACGGACACACATGAATAAATATTGATATAGAAGGCAGTCCAGTCAGCGAAAGGGAGAGGAGACTTCTAAAAAGGGGGGATGGAAGGAGATGGGCAAACTCTATGTGCTATATATGTATGTAAACATATATACGTATATGTTTTTGTTGCCCATATGTAAACGAGTCGAAGTCTCGGCTTTACGCGATGAGCGAGAGGCGAAGCAAAATCAAAAATAAAGAAGGAGTTCGACAAATGGCGCAAGCTATTAAAATAAATATGTGCAAGCTCTCTTTTGGGGTGGACCAAAATGGTAAAATATACCACTCTATTAAGCTGTAAACTCTTAGAATGTTTACAGGTTAAGTTATTTAATTTTTTTGTAATGCCTTTTCATATTTGTAAAAACAAAAGGTTAATTTATGAAGCCTCAACTGTGAAAATATACTTATTTGGCTATATTTGATAGCCACTCGGTTGAGGTCCACCCCAATTCCTACGCACACGAGCTCCGGCGAGAGTTTCTGACGCGACGTCAACTGAAGCTGACGCTCAAGCTGCCGAAAGGTGGGCAGAGGTAGGAAGGAGATGGGGAGAGCTCAAAGGAGCAACAGCCCTCGCCGGCGGCCGGCTTTCTGCCTCAGCTCAGCCGCTGCCTCTATCACCATGGGCAACGTTGACACAGCACAGTGGGCATGCGGTTCGAAAAATGTCCATAGCTAAATGTAAAATAACTCACTTCGGCGAAACGAAAGGATGTAAACCAGTTTGAACCCAGCTAAAGTAAATAACTGTCCCTGCTCGTAGCGATTACAGCTTAACAAAATAAGGTGTTTTACCCAGGGTGCATTATAACTAATAATTCTGAATGTCGGAAATCGAATAAGGATAATTGCCCCCACTGTGCATTACTGAACTTGAGCTAACATGCCAGATGCTGCGAGAGAGAGGAAGTGAGAGGGCATCCCTATCTATCCCTCTTCTTGTTTTTGGCGCGCGCAAGCGTAAGCTCTCTCCCGCTCTCCGGCGCTCCCGGTCTCTCTGGAAATTTCGGTCTCCACTAAGGCTTTCGCTGCGAACTAGCGGCAGTTGGAAAGAAACTCTCAAACAGGACGAACCGCCTGGAACAGGATACTGCAAAACAACCGAAAGCTTGAAAAAAAAAAAACAAAGCCGCTTCGTTATAGTAAATTAATAGTAGTACAACTACTACTACTACACTTGTGGAGGCGCATTTTAATCGAATCGAACGGCAGCCGACAGGGAAGAGCGGTGATGGCGGAGTGCAAGGACCACGAGGCTGCGGCGGCTTTACCAAAATTTGGGATACAGACAAAACGCGGCTCGCAGGATACCGGATACGTCTCTTTCCCCGCCTGTCTGTGTGTACTTGCGCGCGTGTGTGTGTGTCACATCCATTCAGGAGGCTAAAAAGAAAAGAGAGATAGCAGACATTTTGCTCAGTGGTGACTTTTTCGGCAAAATTCCAAATATCCAAGGAAAACGGTTCGGTTCTTTTTCGGTTTCTCCGTTTTTCGGTATCGGGGTAGTACCTATAAAGCTCCAAGGAGAAGATGATGAACCAGAAGAAGAATAACAAGAAAGGAAAGCCTCCAATGAAACATCTTCACAAATAGAAGTGCTCTCAATAAATGGAAAATCGTTGAAAGTGTAAGAAAATAATCTTTTAAATTTTATAATAACTAAATAATAATCTGTAATCATAAAACTGCAAACCTTAGACAGAGTTGTTGTCGTCAAAACTTAATCTTGGTTTTATTTAAATTATATCTTTGCAATTCTGCGTTTTAAAGTCTTTGCTTTTCTTTTAATAGAAAATCTGGTTCTATATTTGAAAACAAATTTTATCTTCCATTAATCACTATTAATATAATCTCATTAAAAACAATAAGGAATAGCCTCAACATTCCCATACGGCTATTAAATTAAGCTTTAACTTAACTTCTTGACTATATTTTTTCGACTTTTTACAGCTTAGGCCTCTTGATAATAAACTGTCATCATTAAATACTAAGCATTAGTTATTATGTATTTAAAATATAATATTTATAGATTTTCAAAAATAACTATATCCTCATAACAGTAATCTTCTTTAATTCATTTAATTTTTATTAGAAGAAACAATTGAAAACTTAAAAACTTCTTGTAGAATTTATTCAATATAATATATTTGTTTAATTTTATCAAAGACTCTTGAAGCGAAGTAATAACAACGATTTCATTTTGGAACTTAAGATCCATTTTATATTAATTCATTTTATAGCAACATATTTAACATAAATATTCAATATAATTACTAATCATTTGAAATCTTTCAACACAACAATTAAATGCACATGCTGCTTTTTATTTTTTCTTTAACTTTTAAGCTGCTGCCTTTCCCCCGCTCTCTTTTTTTTGTGCAACGCCCGCGAAATAAAAAGGAAAAACTCGAGGTTACGAGCGACGGCAAAGGGGAAAAGCAAAAGAGCAGAAAAAAAAACAGGAGATAAAATATATATATAAAAAGTACAAGGAAAAAAACTTGCTGCGCTGGTCTGGCCACTTGTCCTGTCCGTCGTGTCTGCCGGCCGGCCCGTCCTTTTCTCTCTCTGTACGCGCTAGTGTGTGGAGTATCTGTGTGTAGTTTTTTTTATATTTTTTATTTTTTTTATGGCCATGCAATATCTTTCTCATTGCTAGCTGGCTTTCCTGTTCGCAGCCTCCTTGCGCTGCTGCCTCATCTCGTGCTTCATGTACGGTGAGCATAAAATAAGATGGGGGAAAAAGCGAATGTTCAAATTGAAATACTTTACAAAACTCGTATTTGCTTAGCCTTATCGGCCTCGCACAGATACAGGCACACACACACACACACCTCGTCGGTCCTGGCAACGAAGTTTTTTTTTTTGACTTCCCCGCTGTTGCCAAGAGCCGCCCGGGTTACCCCAAGTCTGGTCTCACGTCTGAGGTTCGGGCTCGCGGGGTCTGTAACTGGTAATAAAATGCAAAATGCTAAACAAGAAAAATATACAAAGACCCCTAGCACTGGCCTGGCCAGGCATCTACATAATCCCCAAGCGATCAATAAAGCAGAGCAGCTTCTCTTCTGCAATTAGTGGGCTATATCATTCATCACAAACGAGAGAGACAGATCATAATGATGCTATAATGATGCCTGGGAGTGTGCCGCATCCTTCATTAACTTTATTATCATGATGCAGAGTGTGCTTTAAACTTAAATTTATTATAGAAAGAAAATATTTTGTTACTGCAATGTTTTTAAGTTATAAAAGCCCAAAGATTTCTGTCTTAGAGGTATTTAAACTATAGTTTTAGGCCATATACATTTAATGATCCTGACTTGTTTCATTAATTATGACTGACCGTTGCAATAACTATTGATACCTTAATAATATCATAATTTTCACACCCTTACAGGGTATTATAATTTTAATCAGAAGCTTGTTACGCCATGAATATATCGTTTCCGACCCTATAAATCACATATATATTTGTGATCAGCATCAAAAGCCGAGTAAATCTAGCCTTCTTTGGCAGAAAACTAAAATTTGAATTTTTTTTGAAAATTTTATAAGGTTATAATGGTTAAATTTATCAAAAATCTGCAAAAATGTTAATTTTTTTAGATATTAAATTAAGTTCGTAGATTTTTAAAGCTAATACAAATTAGCAAGGAAATAAAATTAATGCTTTTTTGGCTTAGCTATGAGATTCTTAAAATTTATAATTAAATAGAATGGTAAACTTTTAATATAAAGGAAGATTT